TCACAGCGCGATGTTTTCGTCGCGCTGTGATGACGTCAAATGCGCGCTTTCGTCGAGCGCGATTTTGTCCTCCGCGCTTTTGACGGGTCACGCCATAAAACACCTGTTCTAGGCTACTGTAACTCTAAACAGTCATAAAACAAATGGTCATAAGTTGAGGACTACCTGAACTTCCATGTCTTAGTTCTTTCATTTCAGATAAGTTGTCCTGGGGATGATCTTTTTTTTAATCTTTACAGTCACTGGAATGGAAGTAGATTATGAAGAAGTAAGGATCACTCACAGGTAACTTGTGGTTAAAGCCTTTCACTCGAATGGTCAAGCCATGCTCTTTAGCCATCACTTTATATTCCAACTGAGCAACATCGGCTTCATATGCTGGTTCAGCAAGGTTATGGCTGAGGATGCTTACAAAAGTATCAAAAAGCACCATGCTAGGTGAGGAGAAAATGAAGTGAATTAACAGAAGTTGAAGTGGCAGCATTGTCATGTCTTCATATTTCACAGGAGAAACTGAAAAGTAGCTGCTCTAAGACTAAAATTACAGATCGTCATTTCCATGGGTCAATTTCCCTTCGACATAATACCTTTGGGAGAGTTAAACTGCAATGGGAAAAATACAGTCATTTTCAAAAGTTACAGATAGTTTTGTCCCAAAGGTACTTTTTCAAGAGCCAACTATCCAGTTGCCTCTTGAAAAAGGTCCTTTGGGACAACCATGACCTGGATGACTGAGAGTCTCCATAGACATACCAACATTTTTACATTGATGAGCTTTTTTCATCTTCAAGATGTAGAATTTAAGGTATAGAAACAATTATCCTTCCCTTTATGCATTCTAGTGCAAAACTTTGGAGTGGTGGCTTCACTACAACAGAGGTTCAAATGGATTCCTTTAAACTCCAGAAAAAAATAAAGACTATGAAAGAAAACTGAGAGAAGTCTTGGGTAAGTTGTGCAGATCAAAGCATCTCTCACCTTCTTTTGTAGCATTGGTCAAAAGGCTTCCAAGCTGGATGACTTTGGCAAATGGCACAGGATTCCTGGCTCTCTGTGTCTAAAGTGGCAATCTAAATACTTGTTGAGGTTCTTCCAGATCAGCAACTTCAATGAATCACGCAGTGTGCACTGAAGCTAGCAAATGTGGAGCCTTTTCCTGATTGCTTGTTAAAGGTCCTGCCAAAGTAGATAGCTCTGAAAAGTGCTGAGGACAATCTCAAAGCCATACAACCTGAAACCCCCTTTCCATGTACTGAAAGATCTTCGGATCTCAAGGCTTTGGTGAACACTGCACCAATTCCAAATCCATCTATCCTAGAAAACTTAGGCTAGTGTTAGGGTAGAGCTGCAAGGAGCCTTCTAACCACAATATCAAGGTCTTTGCTTAACCAAAGCAAATCTAAATCATCTCATACAAGGCAGAATATGTTTTATTGCAACCTAACACTAATCCTTTTTTAAAAACTAATTCAACCAGTCAATTATAAAAATGCTTACTTCAGTGCTGACTGTAATATTACTGGTGATACCAAGTAGAAACAGATAAATCCTGGAGAAAAATGAATACGTTGGAAAAGCAATAAGAATGTAAACATTGTGCTGTTTATGTACATCTATATTTTTAGTCACTGAAATCTCTTCTACACCAGTTGTGGGTTGTTCAGTTAGATCAAATACCACAATTTTGAATTTTCTGAAACCATTACCTTCCATACTTGAAGATCCTCATTCTGATGATGATAATCATCATCATCGTGGTCATCGTTGTTGTTATTATCATCTTAATGTTTGTTTGTGTCTGTCTGTCTGTCTCTGTCTCTCTCTCTCTGTCTGTCTGTCTCTCTCTGGTGTGTGTGTGTGTGTGTGTGTGTGTGTGTGAGAGAGAGAGAGAGAGAGAGAGAGAGAGAGAGAGAGAGAGAG